TTTCAGGAAGAACCTTTTCTAGGACATAGTCCTTTTTCTCCTGCTTGAGAACAATTCTCAAGTTTCGATACCATTCAAGGAAATTCGATCCATTCAATTTATCCTTCTCAAGGACAGATCGCAATGAAAACGAGTAGTGGGGAGTTGTCATTTCTGGAATAAAAGAATAGGGAGTGTTAATATGATGTTCATGAATTGAAATCTCAACAATTAAGAAAACTCATACTATATTCAAAACATTTTCCTCAAATGAATATAATAAGCCAAGATCCATATTTCACTAAAATCCAAGTGAGCTTTGGCTCATCGCCTGAATTTTAGTTATTTAGGTAAGCAATACTTTGCTAATTATATCTAATATAATTCTTGGTTGTCAGACGACATCTTATGTCTTGTCCAACCTATGTCTCTATGCCCAAAACCGTTTTGATAGCCTAGTCAAGTAAACCAATCTTGTTTCACATGGTAACCGTTACCATCCACCTCACTCATGTAATTGCAGACACCTTGCTTTGGCAAGCCCATCTTACAACGAAACGAGCCTTGATGGTTGATAAGATTGGGTAGACATCAAAAGTACTTGAAATTAATTGAGGAACAAATTTTAATTCAATTTTAGTTTATATTTAAAATTTATATCTAATATAAAAATAAATATAACCCATATATATCTTATATATATTAATTGAATTACAGATAAATAAATCAACTTTTAATCCAATTAAAATATTTATTTATTATAGAATTAATCTTAATTTGTTTTTGAATCTAATCAAATTAGAATCATGAACAAAATGATTGAAATGATGGAATTAAACCAGAAGACTGGTTTAACCAGTTTAAGAGATTGCACAATCCAACTGGTTACAATAACACAGTTGACTTTAAAAGTCGGTTATGGATAACTAATTTCTCAAACCGATAAAGTGAACCAACTTGAACCAAGAAGTCGGCTGACATGTATCAAATACAATAATGCACTAGCTGTAATTAAACATTATTATTACAACACGCATACGAGAAGCAAAAGCATAAATATCGGATGATCGTATCAAGCATACCTATCTCATACAAGCCTAACATGCAATATTGAATTATTTAAAAATCAATACTTCCTTAACATATTAAAACGTCAGGTCCATGTATATTCTTAATTATATGTGATATCGATATTTCCTAAACAAACAACATTAATTATCACATAATTAATACACACATCGTTATCCAATAAAGACAAATATATGGTTTAGAAATCGATGATACCATAATCAAAATTAGGGTTCTTCTTAACGTGTCAAACACATCGATTTCAAATAATCAAATTTCTCTAGTTACTAATCTATACCAATTTATAAATTAACAAGATCTGATTTCAATATTAAACAAGTAGGCTCTGATACCACTGTAGGAATTCATACCGGTTTATAACGTTTTATAAATCAACTTATGAATTCTATTTGCCTAGAATCTCATGCCAATACTGAAATAATCTAGATCTTTAGGTTCTTCGAATATACCTGGTTATTCTGCAGCGGAAAGATGAATAGACCAAGTCGAGATTCCTAGCACTCCAAACGTCGTGCCTCTATCGGTATCCACACGCACACAAACTAGATCGAAACGGGATGCTAGTGCCGTCAAGATCAAATCTCTGAAGCTTGACAAACCTTTTGTCTATGTATATTAGGGTTTAGATGGTGGCTGTTTCATATATCGATTTCCCAAATCATATGTATCTTTTTATACATGT